TTGGACCAACATTGTACAGTAACTGAAAAAGTATTTACATTGCTGAAGGTAATTCATTTTAAGGGTTCTGTTTTTTTTTTAGAATAAGCAGACTGTGACTTGTTTTCCTGACATGGCAGTCACAGGCTTTCATATCATCTCTGCCTGCCATTCAGGATCACATGGAAGTGTTACGTCTGAATACTGCTGATTACAAATATGATTGATGCTATGCATCTGAGTACACTTTGGAAGGTCAGTTTTGTCCTTATTTTACTGTAAGTGATCTCTACAAGACATTTAGTGATAAATAACTGGATCAACATGTGGAAGGAGGAGTCAAATCAATCGCTGCGATTATCATTTTGCACAAGAAAATGTTTTTATGTGTAATACTCAACTAATTTTTTTACTGATAAATGTAGTCCATGCTGTGTAACCAGTGTTTGTACAGTTTGTCATTTACACGTTTTACTGTTGTTGGCTAGTTGTTCATTGTCCTTTTTTTTATAAGGATTATGTGATTTTGAGAGGTGCTTGTTAAATCTTTCAGTGGCATTATTATGACATACAGTAACAGTGCTGTGAAACAGTTTCCACACCCCATTTTGTATTCTATAAATCAGTTCTTAACTAAAATAAGACTCTAGACTTGATACAAGGTGTAATGTTCCCTATAATGCTAGGGTCACTGAAAATACAAATCAATACATTAAAAACATAAATGAGAGGACTCAATGGAATTTGTTTTGTTCTCTATCTAATGGGATAACCTCAAGAAAAAAGTGTCACTGTATGTAATATACGTAACGTAATTAACGTAAAAATCTTCAATCCGCTTCCTCTCAGCACATTATATTTAATATATTTTTCATTTGTTGTTAATAAATACACATCATTCACTTGTTACTTTCTTGGAAAACATCAGAAATCTATTTCATAAAAGTCAGGACAATAATTGTGCATAAATTCAAAGGGTGTACAAACTTTCACAGCACAGAACAAACATCAAGAGTAATTGCTGTTATAAGTTTCGGTGTTACTTTGTAACAAAGAGCATAGTTTTATATTAATAGTCATCTGGGTTCTTTGGTAAATATTAAATTAAAAAAGTGGAAATCTGGTGAAATAAAACATCCTGAAAAAAATCCCCACCGGATTATTTCTGTAATCCTTTCACTCAGTGACACAACAGTCAGAACCACAATTTCTAAAGTTAATGATCCCCTCCAGACATGTTTTATG